ACAGCTACGCAATATAAACATCTTCACATGTAAACAACCTAGCAGATTACCTTTTCCAAGAAATAGTAAATTTAAATAATACAAGATGAATTTTTTTCTAAAATATGACTTCTACTTCTGTGTTGCTCCACAGGGTTAATAAAAGTTACAGAAGAAGAGTTACAGGTTTGGTTCGAGTTAGTTTCAGCCTCTACACAACTTTACAATCTGAATTTTTGTGCTGCAGAGAAGCGGTACAGGACTGCAGGGTTTTGTTTGCTTTTTAAGAAGTTTTCCAATTAAGATGGGGAGAGTGGACAATCAGCTATGAAACTTGCTTTCACCGTAGAAATTTGTTGCTTGTATCAGTATTATGCTTACACAAACTATTAACACCACCAGGTCAAGCCAGGTATTAAGGTAACTCTCACATTTTCTGCGCATGCGGACAAAAATTCAAAATGAATCCTTACTCAGGGTAAAATATGTCCTTTGCAAGCTATCAAATGACAAGTACAAAAGCCCATAAAACCTATATTTAGGGAATAAGTCTTAATGAAAATAATTTGCACATCTAACTGCATCCAAGACAACCCTCTGACACCATCCTTTCAGGTTTTAGAATCAAAAGGTCATCTCAGCTTCTCTTTTTCGCTGAGTAGCAGCTTGTTACCCAGTTGTCTGTGCACATACACTTAGCTTGCAATAGGGTAATTCAACTTAGCTTACTTTACACTGATTAGATACTATTCAAGATATTCTGTCCCTGGACTTACTGAGGTTGCCTAAAAAAGTTAAAATAAGTCATTTATCATAATCGTAGAAGTGCGTATATGGAGCTATTTATCAAGAAGTTAAACGGTTAGAAATAAGACTCTTTGTGAATTTAAACAGACTGCTTTAAAAAACAGAACAAAATCAAAATATAAAGTTATTCTGTTGCCTTACAGGAGGGTTATGGCAATAGACTGCTTTCAAATGGGCTCAGTGGGCTCCAGGGGACTGAAGGAGATACCACTGAAACTCCAAAGAATTGAGACTATTAAGTAAAAGGGCATTCAGAATATACAACAAACCATTCTTGATAATCTTTGACAGCATCTTAGATTCCAAGTTGTCTTTGACAGATTTAAAGTATTGATGTTAACAAACCCCCTGAAAGAACATGCATGGAAATTCTTCCTCAGCAGCTGAATACGGAGGAAATTCTTCTCAAGATAAATAGAAAAAATCATGAGGAAAAAAAACCCACCACCACTTGGAGTGGTCTCTACATCTGTCTCCTCTATATCCCTCAAGTGACAGCTCCTTTTCTTGATCTCCTGGTCCAAAGGGAAAAGATACTTTGCAAATGAGGATTAATATAAAGAATGCACTCAATTGATCAGGCAGCAATTAGACTTTTCTCTTTTCTGAATGTTGACTTAAAATATAAATAAAATTAAAAATCAGCTGAACGGTTTCTTATCTGTGTTTATGTAAAACTTGTTTCAGCCCTGATTGGGATTAGTGTCTGTTGGCTTTGCAGCCACAAATCCAGGAACTGAAGAAACAAGAGTGTGGGTGCACTTCCATCACAGGAGGCAAGTACTGTGGGTTTTGTTTTGTTTTGTTTTAATAACTTGCTGCAATCAGGATGTGCGGCTTTGTGAGGGGAATGTGTGGCTTAGGAGGTTGAAAACTTTTCAGATGAATCAGTAAGGAGGAGAGAAAGTCAACACTGGATTGAGACACAACCCTGACAAACTATTCTTTCTGATGGAAATAATCTATTTTCTTTAATAAAGAATTGTTTTCATATTTCTTTTCTCATATACAAAAAGAAATCCCAACAGATAACAATGAATATGTGCAATATTTTGTTCTTACATGCTACTCAAAGGAAATAATTGTTATGAGGCAGATAGATAGACAGATTAAACATTACCATGCTGATCTATAGCAGTACACTTGAGAACTTAAATATTTAAGTAAACGAGCATTATAGGTACTTCAACAATGTATTTCAATGTAAGCTGCAATGGTTTGAATATCTTTATCTAGGACACTTTAAATGTGTTTTGCATTTTTGGTGAGTTAACTGTTCTCAATAAGAGACTGATTTATAAAGTTGCTGCTGTGCTGAGCAATGCACAGTACTCTTCTGTAGGAGGACCCTCGGTGCAGCATATACCAGTGTGCGTGTCTACAGAAAGATAACTGCAGACTGGTCAGACTAAACTGACCCCAGGAACTCTTAGGGCACTGTGACTTTGACAATCTTTCATGAGACATCACTCTCAACGTTTTTAAGAGGCATGTTAGAAAACATGTAGCCTGCAGATATTATAATAGCTTTATTTTTCTTCTCATTTAAAATAATGCAAAAAAAAAAAAAAAGAGGCAGCATCTGAATCCCCTACACCCAAATTATTGCCAGTATTTAGAGAAAGTGTGCTTCTGTCCTGAAGTGATAAAAATCAAAATACCCCTTCGGGTATATGCTTTTAGTCAAATTATAAATCTTCAAACATAACTCTTCGTTACAGGAACATATAGATATCCTTTCATTAAAATAATATTTCAATGCATGAAATATTGAAATAGTGGAATAAAATCTGGCTACATTGTTCTCTGCAAACAAAACAACGGACACTGAAAATTGCAAGCATTAAGTTCTGTTCAATTTCTGTCAGATTCTAGGCAACATATTCTTCAGCAAGTGGCTATGGTGGAGAATAAAACTTTTTTATGGCAAAGTGATAAAGAAAAACTTTGTGCGCGTTAAATACGATCCTAAAAATAAAGAAAATCTGTGCAAGTGTGCATGTTTTAAGACCAGAGCCTCTGGCATAAAACACAGAGCCTAAGTCAATGCAAATCCCTGGTAAAACCACAACATATACTTAATGTATCTACCAGCATAGTGTCAAAAAATATCAACTGATTTGCAACACGTAGAAAGCACTGAACAGAAAAAAGTGCAAAAGGTTGCAGTTAAGTGTGATCAGTCTGAGCAACTGTATTCAAATAATATTCAGAGAAACAATACAAGTGTCATCCTGATGTTAAATAGGTGGGCTTCAGGCTAGTCTGATGACTAATTCATTACATGAACTAACGCCATTTGGTGAATTCTGTGTGCACACAGCAACAAGACAACAAACACATTTTAGTCTAGTTTTATATGAAGAATTTAATTATCTATACATGTAACTAATTTTAAAGGCTGTATTACAGTTGTTAAAGCTGCAGGTTTTTATATATTTATATATTTTACATTCATATCGATGAAATACTGAAGTGCAATTGAATAAGGAGCTTCACTCGTTCTTTGCACCGGATGATAGGTGGGAAGGAGGGAGATGGCGGAGGATTAGAAACTCTACAACACTGCTAGCATGAAATTTAGAAGTAAAGAAATACAAAAAACAGAACAGAACTAAATGTTGAAGTAATTAGTAGAACTACTATATTGTGCTTGAGGCATTGGGAAGAGAGGTTTCTGCGCCGACAGCACCAGGCATTTCATCAAGAGCTTGTAACTAATGTTGGAAAGACAAACATGGCTTAGCTACAGCACAGCTACTACATAAACTCGACTGTAAGCTCCATTTAATATTAATTTGTATAAATTCCACAGTCTAGTTAAAAAATGTAAACATTGGAAATTAATTGCAGGGAGATATTTCTATACATTCTTTCTTGTCAAGATAATTACTTGTTCAAAATGTGCTGTTCCATAGTCATGAGAAAGTAAAAATGAGAAATCAAACTTCACGTAGCCAAGATGGAAAAAAAAGAAAAGTTAATTCTCAAATCCCACATGAAGGTAGCATTCTAGTGATTTCTGATACAAAAATGAAAAAAACAAAACATCTGAGACAAACACAAAACAGGATGGGTTCTAACTGTATGCAGCTACAAGTAATGTGCAAAATAAAATTAACATAACTGGGATGATAACATTACGCAAGGCTAACATCTCTTGCATTGGAAGGAAGGTAATTTCCTCTCTCCACTGTGTATTATACACTCAGTAAGGAACACCTGATACATACAGTACAATAACTATAACAAAATACCTTATCTGTAACTGGGCACATATAAAGTTCTTTAAACTGATTTAATTCCTTCTGTTCTTTTGCAATTAAAAAAAAAAAAGACATTGACAACACTGGACAAGTGAACAATAAAAAAGAAAGATACATAAAGTCTCAACTTTATGGACATTTGGAACAATTTTAATAGCACATGCAGCATTCCTTGATAGTGGGTCTTTTTGCACAAACGCAATTGCAATGAAGAAACTTAATTTATACTTTTCCTTTAAAAGGCTAAAATATATATTTAAAAATAATTTTAAGACTACTGAAAGCACCTGTGCAAAGGTGGAAAAATTAGTTTGGTAACTATGAAAGCCACAAAAGGACCCACTATCCTCTGATTTTTGTTGTTGCTTTTTTTGTTTGTTTGTTTCATCTTAATTTTGCGTCTATATCTGTAGGTAATTAACTCAAACATTGCGATTACATGCAACTAATGTAAAATGAGGTAAACTGCTCTGCAGTGTGTTCTTCTACTCAGAAGGCAGTAGATGATCATGCTGGAAGTCACATGATCAAGGCTGCATCTCCCATCATCCCTCTGGGCAGTGATATGGGATAGTGGGTCTCTTTGAGGACTTTCAAGCCTGAGTGGGGGATGGACAACATATGATTCCTAGAAAAAGGAGGAAAACAACACATAAGCAAAACAAAACAATGAGCAAATTCAAGCTAGGAAAATGAGTCAGGCATGTAAACAGCATGGTGCAAAAATGGTAAAGGGTAACATGCTACAAAGGGGATGGGAACTAAAAATAAAACAAACATAAAATAAGGTTTGCATTATAGAAGGTCTTCAAAGAGACTCTGACAAATGCAGCAGTGCGTGAAGCTTCGAGTTCTGCAAACCACAGCAGAATCATAGCAATGCTGCATGTTTCATCTTAAAGTACAGCATACAAAAATCACAGCATGGCAGCAGAGATGGTCACTTACATTGCTGGCTTGGGTCCATGTCTGTTGTCAGCTTCACGTAGTTGGATGGAAAGAGACCCACTTGTCCGTTCACCTCCCCCTTCCACCAGTCTGGGTCTTCCTTATTGAGGACGTTTATAATCTGGCCTTTATTGAACGCCAGCTCATCGTCATTCTGCGCAGTGTAGTCATACATGCCAATTACTTGGCACACTGGAAGATAAAGGAACAGGTCTGTAGCGGTGGTAAAGCTTCAGCAAAACCTAAGCTATGCGTAAACCAGCTCCAGGCACTATATATGCTTTGTCACAGCACAGCTCCACGACAATATATGCTGATCCAAACCCGTACTGCCGCGGTCCTGCCCCTCTCTCCCGGGCCCCAGAACTGGCGCTCCTCTGAGCCCTCAACAAATTGGCTCAGGGTGATTTTCAAAAAGCAAAGTGTTTTCTAGCAGTTTTGCTCTCTCAGTTGGCTTTTTGAGGGGTCAGGTTCATACTAGGAAGGGCAAGCACAACAGCGCAAACTGAGAACAGTGTAAACTGTCTGGAACTGTACCCTAGATATTTTTGTTAGGACACAGCAGGAGAAAGGAAAGTTTTAAATGTTATCAAAAAGTCAACCATTTTAAAGAGGTTAGCGTTCTATTGCCACATCTCTTCAGCTTTACTTAAATTTTTGCCCACAAAAGCATCAACTTTGTTTTATATTTATAAAAACTGCATTTTCCATCCTTACCAACCTATTCTAAGAAGTTTATCCTTTCCAACAGACCTGGTCAATGGACAGTAAAGTCTAGGAAACCTTTTAAGTTCCATTACCTGAACTCTTCTAATTAGAACAGGACTGGCTCAGCACAGCTCTATAATTCAAAAGAAAGCCAACGGTGATATCCTTGTTACTGCCACTGAGATGTGAGGAACACAAAACCATTGGAAAAGTGAGAAAAATAAAAAATATACCAGGCCATTTAGGCTATTCTTTTGGCACCATGGGACTGCTTCCAACAATATATTTTCTATTTTCTTACCATGCGACTGGCTCTCAGGATACAGTGGTCTCTGTTCGATTATAATAGAGCAATTTTCTCTCCTTAATTCTCTAAAGCAGCAGGACTGTTTGGTTGAATACATAGTTTCTCCTCCCATTCTGATGCGTTCTATATGCCAAGTCACAGGGTTTCTGGTATTCTGCCTTAAGACACAAGCCTACTATCTAATTAGCCCTGCTGTCAGGTCCTCTATTATATTCAGCCTGTATTTTTCTTTTATTTTATTTCTTGTACTCAGCCAGTAGATTATTTAAAGTTGTCAAATAGCTCCTCTCTCTTTTCAGAATTTGTTTTTTTTGAAATGATTATTTGTTGTAACAACTTTTAGTTAACGCTTTGTCCTTGTCCACAGACATCATAATCAAACTCTGCATTAACAGGACTTCTGTATACATCTCAAATATTTAGCTTTGTTACTTGCAAAAGGGAAAAAAACCCACACAATTATCATTCACTCTCACTTGCAACACCTAACACTTCAGCTAGCCAAAGCATACATTTGCTTGGCATGTTGAAGATAAACTAGCATTTCTAAAGAAATGTATATTATGGTGTACAGGTAATTTTGTGCTAACACAAGATCAAATACGTGAACTCCACTGATGTTCATATTTCACTTTAAAGGATCTGTGAATCTGTTTTACAGCATTCTTGTAGCAGGTTTACAGGATATTATTAATATAAAGAACGATAAAAAGTTAAAGCTAGGCTATACTTGAATATAGTATGTGTATTAACAGATTTGTAAACTCTCACAAAATTTTCATTTACATCATTCTCCTCTACTTCAAAGAGCTTTGTGAAATTTGGTGTTGTCCAGTAGTAGTATCAGAATAGCTAAACAGTCCAACAGGATTCACCAAATCACCTTAAACATGGAGAGGTAATTTAGGAGAATTCTTGAAGAGATGGCCCTCCTCAATAGAGTTTGAAGGAACGATCTTATCTTAATCTTATTTAAGCTTGGTCACAAAGCTTAGAACATACCTTAGTGCAACACAGGAAGATCTCAGAGTAGCCCCAGCAAGAAAGTTTTTCACGCATTTTAAACTCCTAACAGTACCAGCTCCTAAAGCCACTGCTAACTACAGAAGCAGGCTATAGTGTATCTTCTCTGCCCTTCAGCAGTTTTTTAGCCATTTCCTTTTTAGACAGATTGTCTATTGATTAATACTAGACCTGCTACAGTGGCAGAGAGAAGCCAGGTTCTCATGCAAAACTCATGATCAGTAGAAGCAATGAATGTGCAAGTAAAGTACAAGTAAAAATGTAAGGAATGAACGTTTTCATTCTTTAAACAAGTAGAATGCTTGGAGACATATTCCCCAGTATTCGTATATAATGACTTCCTGACCTCTGGCTATCTACAAGCAGCAATGATAGGTAGTTCAAAACCAGGAAGGCCACGTTCATTTTGCAGGTTTAGAAGTCAATAGATATTAGAAGAACAGCAGTAGAAAATTAAGAAAACCTCAAAGTATAGCAGAACAAAAGCATCCACGCAACATATTAAAAAGAGGTTGTTTAAAGTCATGCAGCTTGCGTTACAATATGACATACAGAAAGCAAATCAAACAAAATGACAAAAGAAATGGCAGTTTTGATGATACTAGTTTCTGACAGATCAGAACCCTACCTTCAAAACCCAGACAGTGCAAATGAGGGCCCACCCTCTGCTCCTTTGCGATACACTACCTCAGGCACTGTTCTACCCTTATGGATGGTTTTCTTTAGGGTTGTCATGCTTTGTTCACACAGCAAGCCTCCCAGCTCCCTTGCTCCATGAAGACGCCTCTCAAAAGTCAACCTCCTACATTAATTACATAATAAATGAGGCCACCTATCATAACAGAAAGACAGGATAGTCCTATTGCTTCTTTTCACTCGCCAAAACATAAGTTCTACAACATAAAGTTGAATTTGGCAAGAATGAATGCCATTACAATTTCAGTGATCTGCTGGCAATGAAGAAAGTGCTAGAAAGTTTATTTTGTAAAAGTTTTATTAGCATATGTGAAAAGTCCCAGACTGTCAGATCTGAAATAAACAAAAAGGAATTTCTTCACGCTGCCTTGTAAAAATGTGTCTGAATGCTCAGCTACCATCTTAACTGCAGGACCCAAACTCATGAGTCTTTATAGAGGCTTGACTTTCTGCATCTTTCAGACTATCACTAAAGGAGCCAATTTGCACCATTTATAATATTTGGCTTCTCTGATAGAGTATTTTTTTTTAAATAACAATGACTTATGAAATGAATAACTCAGTATTTTATTCTAGTTTCATAAACTGTATGACTATCTTTCATACACATTTAAAGGAGAAAACTATTTTCACCATCATTTTTCATACAGCATTATTTATTTAATTGAAATGAATGTTTCTGATAGAGCCAAAAAATGGCCAGGGAAAGCAGTAAGCTTTTTAATCCCTCCCCAACTAAATCCAAATCCAATTAATGCAGAAGAGAGACAATCACTTCAAGTCTTTTTGGTGGCTTATGAAAGAGAATACATCTGTTACATACATTTTCAATTGACAAGAGTCCTCTTTACGTAGTACCGCACCAACTCACAAGCCCCAAAAGATTGAAGACAAAAGCAGTCACATGGAAAGAATTTTTTGTCCTCAGTCTTCAGCCTGGCTTTACATCTTGCAGTAGACTGGCAGGACTATTGGATGTTGCCTGCAGTGGAGCTGTAACGGATAGCTTTCAAAAAGCACAATGCTCTATCACTTTTGTATCCTCTCATAAACCCTAAAATAAGCAGTTATGTAGGACAAAAAGCTATATCATCATTTGAGTGGTTTCCTCACACTTAACATTAGAAAAAAAAAAATGTTCCAAATGCCTCAACTGCTAAGCCATGGATCACCATGAAGCTTTAAAAATTCTCTCACGGGCAAATAGTCAAATAAATAGGACTGATGAGGATGACACATGGCTTTTTTATCACTCAGCAGATCACACCTGAAGGACCACCACAATAAATATACAAATTAATTGTATACTTATCGGTAAGGAAACATTTTTTTAAACAAAGAGTTTTACCAAAGTGGCTAATGTGACATACTCCAATACCCATAGTTATTTTTAAAAGTCCTATTTCAAATGACATACATTACAAAAAGCAATTTTGTTAATGCTACCGCATTGCTTACCTGAAGGTAATGCTGTTGATTTAGGTAGCTCGGTTGGTGTAGTTTTACTGGTACCAGGGCTCAAAAGTTTTACATAATTAGCGGGGAACCATCCTATCTGCCGTTTTTTCCCTCGTGCCTAGTAAGAAAACAGTTCTTTTAAGAGGATTAAGTATATCAACACATCATTAGGCAAGCCAATTCAGCCAACATTTGCAGTCACATTGACTACTTTAGAGTATGAAAAAAAATCATTTTGTAAGGAAACAGTCAGCTATTCTTGTGGTGACAGTTTAATATTATGATACTTCCCACTACATGAAGCTTGGGTGAAATCTAAACCATTCTTTACTACTAACCTAAGTGATTTCTCACTTACCAGTTTTTCTACATTGTGTTCTTTATAATTAATACTACAAACCTGTTCCTTCCAAAAGATTTATCCTTATTTCATTTTACTTTTACCAAAATTCTAGAATATCAGGCTAGCTGTTGTGGTAATGAGCAGCAGCGCTGAAATGCTATTTCATTATGCAAAGAACTGCATTTAATCAATAGCTGAATTGTGATAGTTTAAGTACAGAAAGATAAAGAATCACAATACATTTTTTTTTAAAGAAACAGTACCTAAACTTTGTAATAAGAATCTGTATTAGTGTCTCCTGCCCAAACAATAGACATAAGATTACAAACATATGTTGCATTAACTAAATGCTAAAAAACAAAAACAACAACAAAGAAGGCAGGAAAAAACAGGTAAAGTTTGGATTCAAATAAGAAATCCTAAAGCCATATTGCAACCAAACAAAAATTAAGCTTCAGCAACTATAAACATATATGGATAGAGACTATCCAAACTATCCTAATTAAAAAAACACTAACATTTTAGAAGGTACACTAGATGTGCTCATATCCATCTAATCAGAGAACACCGATATGAGAACGCGGTCCAAGGGCACCTGCTAAGGGAGAAGCAGATCATCATACACCTGCCCTACAGCAGGGCTCTACGTTTCTAATGCAGAGGCAACTAGTCACCGGCGGAGACAGGACACTGGGACAGTCGGACTGCAGCCTCGATCCAGCGTGACAAAGCCTGCGTTACCAAAGCAGGATAGGAGCTTCACAGAAACCGCGTCCTGTTATTTTGTCATTTCTGTTTTTCATTCCAAATAAAATCCAAAGAAAAAATTTTGAATGTAAGAAAGCTTATTCTAAAACTTTTGAGCAAATCTCAGTGTCTACACTGATTCCATATCTATTTTTATTTTTATCTATATCTAGATTTATTTTACCTATTTATTCTTTTTGGCAGTTGGAATCTAGTTAAAATGTTGAGCATGTAGAATTTTGCCTTTATAAACAAAACAGATGTTAATTTTAGAGAACAAAGTCATCTAACAGTACTATTCTTTAACTACTTCCTTCTGTCTTTTTTTCTTTATTGAAAAAAAATGAGATAAAGTGTCTAGATTGTTTATTTTAAGTTATTCTGGAAGACTGCACTAAACCCAGCAATGTAATACCTAACCCATTTACCTCATTTTGTATTAACTTTACTATGATCCCTGAGAAAAGTATGAACAAAACTTACCTAAGGTCAAAACTATAACTGTACCGATACTTTTAAAGTATCTGCTAATTTGAAATTAAACGTATAAAGCACAGAAGTTATTATTAATAACCTTCTCCAAATCCAGTTGTCATTTCACAACTGCTCTTTTTCCCTTTCTGCTATTTTTTTAAATCAATTCCTCTATCCATTTCACCATAGTTCTGCATAAACCTTTGTACTCCCATAACAAAGGAGTCAAGAATTTGCATTAAACTGGTACAATAGCAGAGTAAAGAGAATAGGAAGGGGTCTATTAGTGAAAAAAAATTTGTCAAACAACACTTGAGACAGCATGGTATCCAAAGGTACAGATGACTATTTACACAATAAAAAGTTACGCCTTTTTTTTTTTTTAATCACCCTGCTCGTTGGCAGCTAAGTGGTAATTTTGAAAACTCTTGCCCAGTGAAGCTTATTTTATGTCTGAAAATAAATTTTAATGTGAGATTCTTTCAAGTTACAAATCAACAAAAACATAGAGGTTACTGAGACTGAAGACCAAAGCAATCCTGGAAGACAGTTTCTCCACAGAAGAAATAAAAAAAGGTCACCAAGGAAGGAAGAAAGGGCAGGTACTGACGTTGAAAAAGTATTTAAATTTGAACTAGTTCAAACATCCACATTACAAAAATAAATTGATTACACTCTTTTATATAATATCCCTCATTAAAAGAAAAAAAAGTCAACAACTTTCTTTCCGTGGTACAAAGCAAGGCTCAAAAAAAAAATAGTTAAAATATTTTAACTATTTAACTATTATCTTCTATTACAACTTTAATACAACCATCTGCTTGCAACAGACACCATTCTTTTTACTTTGCTGCATTAACCCAAGCCCTTGCTGAGATGGGCCCATCAGAATGATAATCTGTACTGTCACATCCATTAAGCAACTTGAAAAAGTGGCAGCCATCTCAAAAACCAGTGCTGTCTAGTACTTCCAAATTTTCCAGTAAAACAGACAGCCAAGCTTTTGGTTGAAGCAATGCAGAAAGCGTCTTACGAAGGTCTTCAAGGATCACATATTCTAGTATCTCTCCCACTTTCAAAGATATACATGCATCATATGACACGAACACACGCACGGCCCATGTGAGGAATGCATATCTAGTATTGGGACAGGACACGCAGGTAGATCCTGTCACCTAACCCCACAGCCCCACGTGCTCCTGTTGCATGGCTGCCTTTGCCTCACCACCTGACATGACGACTGCTTTTTTGCTTGCATGACAAACACTTCCGGACACAAGACTAGGAGGATGGACGAGTAGCCAAAACAGTTAAGGCCTAAAATCCACCGCCTTCTTATGTCTGAAGGGCCTGTAGGAAAACGTACAAGGAAATGGATTGGAGGCTGGGTCTGATTTGTGAGGTGGGTATCCTTGACTTGCAATGAACTAAAATGGCTTTCTCTTGCTGTCCTTCAAAACTACCTCAATTTCAAAGAATTAGAGTGTATGTAGATTTTTGTAAGGGAGATTTATTTATGATAGCTTAGTTGCAGAACAATTTTTTTCAGAATTATTTGGCACTGATGGAATCATCATTTTGAATGCTAAAAAAAATACAAGTTTTTTTACATAGAATTTTATTTAAAAAAAACAGTAACTAACTTGGAGCTCTCCTTCCCACCAGCCGCCTGGATTCTTCTTTCTGATAAGAATCAACTGCCCAGGAGCAAGGGTAAGCTGTTCTGGACCCGTTGCTGTGTAAGAGGCAATAACTTGGGCAATTTCTGTTAAAGAAAACAAGTGTTAACCCGGAAAAAACGGAACACATTCTATACAACGTTTACTCTGCCATTATCAGTTGCACAGTCAATCCATTTTGCATTTCTTTCCACAAAATTGTTTCATATTTATGTAGTGCCATGAGAACAAATGGTAATTATATAATAGATCAGGAGTCCCTCCTTAAAAAGTTCACAGCAACACATGAATAAAACAACATAGCAGTGCAGCAGCTCTATGGGTATATGTAAGTGAAGATTTGAAATACAGAAGAATAATGCCCATCATTAGAGCTATATGGCTCTTAAAACAAAATATCATAATAGTGTTCTCTAATAAATATTTTTTTGTACCATCAGTTTGGACTAAGCTCATTAGAAAAAGGAGATACTTCCTGATGACAGTATAATGGAGAAGTTGCAGTAGTAAAAGTACAAACTAATGAAGGCATGCAGCAAATTTCTCACCACATAAGACAAGAAATGAATGTTTTAGAAATGTCACCAGCAGGATTCATTTAAAAATCTCAATTCCACGAACATTTATTAAAAACTGGTGCCTTATTTGATCACCTACCAGCATGAATCTGACCCTGACTAACTGCGGGCTCACAATTACCTGTCAGTCAAATTAGCCAAAGCAGACAATGCAGTTTACACCATTTTACAGTGGTCGTGGAAAGACAGATGATAACCACAACCAAGCCCGGTAGGAGTAACCCATTTTTGAACAAGTTTGAATCAACAGAGGCTTATAAGCCTCTGAATAGGCTTTTTTGATGTCCTATTGAGAGCTTCTAAGCCAGATTTAGCATGTCATCAAACCACGTTTAGAGTGATGGAGTATATGTTTAATATTACTATTATTGGGGACCTTTGGTAAACAAAAGATTGGAGTAGTCTCTTATTAGTCAAAAGAGTTAAGAGGAATCTACGTGTGGAATTTTTTTTTAGCCTTCATTGAGTTGTAAAGTGTCTGGAGAGGTCCAAAGAAGCACAAAAGAAGCGTTGTTACTGCTGAAAGCTCCACTTTAGGATCACAATACACAGTCATTCATCACTCAAGTATTCTCCTTAACAGAATGATTGGGGGGAAGGAATGGGAATTCCTCTTTTTTTGTTTTTTTTGTTTTTTTTTTTTAAGAAAAACCTTTCCTTGAATAGTAAATCCTGGCCCTGTGGTTAAGACAAAGGAGGTTTTTACTTGGTCAAGCCTCAAACGAAACTGGGAACTTTAAAATAGCTGATGTGGGCATTGGGTCTGGCTGGTTACGGTTGTAGTCTAAGATTATCCTACAGTAAACCCATAGCAGAGCAAGTACTACAGATCACAGAAACACGCCTCAACTGTTTTAGTGCAAAGTCAGCTAGCTTAACTTAAAACTTCAGCAATTCTCTCAGCTCAATACACTGCCTGAGATTTTACCTTTTATTTGAAAATCTTGATTAAAAAAATCTGTGTATCAATGATTTTCATTTATGATCACTGCTTGCACATAATTTTTGTCTTGGCTATCCTAACCAACTCTTCACCAAACTGGCACTGGAAGACAAAGCAGAAAAAGGTCACACCTGCAGCAAGCAGAAAGCAACGCAACTGTGAATGTGAGGTGAGCTAGTAGTCAACACTGCTGAGACAGCAAAAGGAACTGAAGCTGAAGAGAGCAAACACGCAGAAGCAGTCTCCAGCTTTCTCGGGGGCAGTCACACTAAAAAAAGTAACACGGTGCTGGGCACCATCCTATTAGCCCTCTCTGTCAACAAGCATCAAACGTCAGCCTCAAGCATCAAACTGCAGCCAAGAGAAACAGCAAAGGCTCTTGGTAACAACATAACACCCACAGGCTGGGAAAGGAGAGGGGAGCCTGCTGGTACCACATAGGAAGGGAGCAATCGTTGAAAAAGCAGTTGTAGGCAAAGCAAACCACAAAGGCGACTCATTTGAAACAGAGAGAGGTTTTCTTCCAGGAAATACAGAACCAGATGCGTTGAAGACAGCAAGGAAAATGATCAGATGGTTTACTTAAAAAGTAGAAGGAAAGACTGATTACAGAAAATTAGAAATGGTCGGCAGAGAAGTATGTAAACAAAAAGCATAAGGTGGGTGAAGAGGCAGGCAGATGAGCAATCTGAGGTGGCTGCAGTAAATCACAGATGCAGAATTAACTACCGAAGAATCTCCTTTGTGAGCGGGGAAGAGGCACACAGCCGTAGGCACAAGGGGCAAGAAAGGAGAGAATCAAATGAGCGATGGAAAGGCTAGCGGCTGAGAGTTAGAAAGATGTTTTAAATCGGGATCTGAGACTTGTATAGCGCAGGTAAAGTGTGAACGCAGAGGACTGAAGAAAGAATATTAACTTAGTAAAATACAGCACACGACGACAGCAAATCAGAAAGGTTTACAGAGAGAAAAGCCAGCAGCACAGTCTGCCCTGTATAATGGCAAGGAAAACACGTTATTTGGCAAGAAACACGGCTATATTGCTAGAAAGTCTGCAAGCTTCCTGTAGTTGTAGGCATTTCCTCCTCCTTAGAGCCGTTCAGGAGGCAAGAATGCAAGCAAAGAAACTAGATGTGGCACTTCACTGAAATGAATTTTATATTAGGCCAAAACCTCTCTCACTACCGTGATAATTATAATATTAAATTATATCAAACTATGCAATCCTGTTGAGAGACCAAAAATCTTATACTTTTCCTCTCTCTCAGAACAAGAAATTTCTCATTCTTTCCTATAAGACGGTGTTCTACAAGGCCCCAAGTACCAGACAGCCTCTTTCACCGACCAGCATGAAGAATTTCTACTGCGGACTGTGCGCTAAATAAGTTACAGTATGAATTATCAGTTTAACACTGAGCTCTTGTGTGCCCCAGAGAAACAGGAAGTTTGAGAAAACTCTCAGCAAAAAGGTTTAAAAAAACCAAACAAACTGAAATAGCTTTCCTTCCCGTAAGCGTTTTTAAATTTTGATTTATTTAGATACGGAATTACTGAGGAGAAATCCAGTTCAATTACAATCCAGAACAAAAGAATGTGGCCTCTACCGAAACAGGTCACATTGAGAAATAAAGGCCTTCCCTCAGCTAGAACTGGCCTCATATCGCTTTTTCAGGTTCAAAAGATAGCTGTTGCTTTTCCCTTGCCCTTCAACGCACACTGTTAAAAACACCCACTCTTCCTGCTGCTCCTGGAACAAACTGGAATATTTCACCTCGTTTATTAGAATTTCACTTCTATTGGCTGAGTATTTGCAACTTATTTATAGCAAAGACACCCATGAATCTCTTTGCTAAAAAGCAAGCAGGACTGTTCTCCAAGTCCAAAAAAGTCTGAGCACAGCTTTTGTCAGCACGCAGAGCTTTTGTCTCTGCTTACTGAAAGCTCCAATCCAGGAGCTTAGTGACTGTAGGGCTTGAACTCTAGACTAAGTCTTGCCATGCTCCGTTCTCCCACACATGAAAACACAGCCAGATCTCTCAGCATCTTTTAACTATATCTACTAGCTTATCATTTCTAGAGATTTTCCAGAACTCTATTCTTTTCTGCCTCTCTCAAGCTTTGCACCTATTAACACAACCAATTTTGATCCTTCAAAGCAGAGTTTAAAAAAGCAGGAGTCGTTTACTTCCAAGCCCTTCTTTCCAAAGAAGGATAAATCAGATTGGACAGAAGCAGCCCTTTGCTCATTTGTCAGGGCAAGGTAAGCCAAATAAAGTTGGGGTTGCCGCAATCTAGTCTGCCCCCCGTTCTCTCTTGCACACTGGCACAGCAGTGGTGAGCCAGCTCAGGCAGCCAAGGTGCAACCTCCTCCCCACAAAACAGAACGCGTGTGTGTGCATGCGTGTGCGCATCTCTGCCTGTGTACACGGAGAATAAGGCAAGCTTTGGTAGATTAGCTCCTTGAACCACCTCACCACAACTGCACAAGCCTCAGAGGAAGGAACAGGAGAGCAGCTTGAACTATCCCCAATTTAGTTTGGTTCAACATGCTGCAAAACAGTAGTACTAAAGCATGTAAGTGCACTGAGGGGAAAGAGGAGCTAATTATTTTCTGAAAGGTTTACAAATGCTTGCCAAGAGCAAAGACTGCACTTTCTGAATGGTCTTTGGAAATAAAACAACTGTGTGGAAGGACAGCCTCCCTCCCCACCAGTATCACCCAGCCTGCCCCTCCACCCCCCACCCCCACTCCAAAAAACAAAAGCAAATCAACCCAACTAAAAAAAAAAAAAACACACAAACAGGGAACTTCTTTCTAGCCAAAAAAATAAACAGCCACAAGATCATCTGCAAAATGACCAGGTTTGACAGGCAATAAGCTACACGGCACAGATGCAAGGTAAGAGCTCTTGAGAACAGGAAGCAGGCAGGCACAAGAGCTCACAGCATCTCCATCAGGACCCAGCCCAATAAACAGCAGATCGCATAGCGTTCTGGGCAAAATGCTGCAAAACCACAATGTGGAATATGCAATTCCATTTTCAGAGACACTGGTAAACCTCGGCGTTTTGTAGCCTTGTGTTTTTCTGTCCAGTGACCTATCACCAAGTTCACACTCCTTTTTGAGCAAGCAGATATTTACTCTCTAGCTACTTGCTACTTAGATATTATAGTGACTTGCAGACTACACATTATTTTAATATAGATAACAAAGTTTTAATTAGTGCACATTATTAAAGGATAGAAACATATTTGATAATACCTACAAAAAGACTAAGAGTAAACATAATACATTTTAATGGAAAAGATTTTATTCCCATTGAAATTTCCAACTGACTAGAAATAAATAGTACTTAAGAACAGATATAAGGTGCTGTCACAATGTATGACTCACCAGGTTTCTTCCCTAAGCTTCCCGTTTTTCCAGCTGCTCCAGGGGCCTTGCAATAGAAAGTAAGACATAAATTTTGCACTCATACATTTATTTCTCCAGTATGTGAAAACAATTTTGCTATGCTTCACTTAAACACACTAAACAAGGATCTGAGTAAACAGCTCTTTCAGGCAGATGCTACCCTGGCAGGAATTCTTAATTTTTGAGATGGCAATTAATATACAGGAATAAGTAACAAGCTGTGCACGGAAGTGGATGATCTTAACTATACAAAGGTGCAGACATCTTTCTGGATCGCTCCTTCCTCTCCTTCATGGACTGCAAATACCAACATAACTACAAATTGCATCGCATTTAAATCTGCCTATCTACAGAACATGCATTCCAAGTTGAGTCAAAACAACAGTAGCAGTTTTCCACTCTACAGAATAGCTGGATTGCAAGTATGTCCAAAAAATTAACTAGAGATAATTATTTCAATAATTATGGTTAATTAACCTTATTACGGTTCTAAAATTTCTTATATGGTAAGTTAGCACAGTCTAGGTGGAAATCCTTCTTTACATCTTTAAGATGAGTTGTCTGAGCTTTGTAGGTGGTACCTGTCACTAGGACCAAAAATCCTACCACCATTTTTGTACCCAGCTGAGCACACAGGGCACTGAATGGCTAGGTCCTGCCTATCTTGACAAAGGTAGCAATTTCCTCTGAACCTAGATGGGCTGAGACAAGAGATCAATAGCATCATCTACGATAAGAAAAGCCTTTCTGAGCAGCCACAAGAAATTCAACAAGCAGTGGATTTATTAAAATTCAGTTACATATAGGAAAACAGCCATACTAAATTAGGAGGTCAGTGTGAAAAGCTTTCATAATTCACTCAACAGAACTCCTGTTGCTGGGAAAAAAAAAACTTCCCGTGAGGTCACTGATTATTTGGAAAGAACTTTTGTTTTGTTTTGTTTTGTGTGGTTTTTTTTAACGCACACACATTTCTACCGATGTGCAAGCAATCAGAGTATTCAAAATGCTGTGTGGTCTAGATTACACCTTGCCCTCCCCTTCATTACTCTGTTATCTTGCCAACCTTTTTGGTCAACAGCCAGTCTGGGACAGATCTCCCCCTTGATTAATTACCTCAGCTTGTTCCCATTACATTGCCAGCCTTATCTTCTGCAATAAAAGGGTCTGATATGAGTAATGGCAAAATAACCAATCTAAACTGCACTTTGTTCAGTAATGTTAAGTAGCCATAAACATCCTCTTGCCTTCAAGCAAGGGTTTCAACAGCCACCCCTCAAGTTCTCCTTTTGGATCCTCCACACTACTTTGGAGACTATATCAAACATGCTGAGGGCTTTCGGAACCCTAACTCCTTTATGGCAAAGAACAGTTTCAACCTCAAAACTCTCCAGATTAAATTATCTGATGTTCGTAAAAGTTGGGGATTCTGACAAAGAAACTAGTATAAGTAATAACTAAAAAAAATCAGTTAAATAACTGAGAAAACAGTGCCATTGTAAAAGTATCATTTAAAGCTTTGGATATCTATATAACAGTTTATTAGGAAAATTTCTGTCGTCAAGATTAAGTGGCTGCTTTATTGACATCCATGTTTTGTACATTTTTCAGTAAAGCTATTAAAGAATCCTGACCTTTCAGGTTCAACTATAGCCCGTCACAAGGCTGTATTAGTCAACTCAATCACACCTAATATAGGAGACAGTAGAGTTGGGATTGCCTCTCCCATGACTTGCAACTGGTATTGGGAAGAGAGAGTGGGAAAGGGGAAGACTTTTTTTTTATTATTTGGCACAAAAAGCACCATATGCACATCTAGTATACACTGTTTCTCCTTGATTTTTTGCAAATTAAGTTTTGTGAAGGATTCTGGAAAGTGGATACTTTGATTTTAATTTAAATGGCACTTGCATAGCATAGTCTCAGTGCTTTTCTCGTCGTCGTAAAAGACTGATTATTGCTACTTTCTACAACACCAGCAAATGTTCCTTTCTTCCCTAGACTCCCTTCTTTCTCTTGTCCCTCCACCTTCCTCTACAGCCACGGGGACTTACACCAATAAAATAGTGGAACAGGAAAGTACCATGCAGAGATGAGATAAAAAAACTAAGGTTAGGTCTGGGGAGTAGGAGATGGTCCAGACAAAATTACTGGGAGCTCCTCAACAGTTCCAAGCAGGGGGATTACAAGGTCTGGAACCAAAGGTGACAACTGGAACTGTTATGCCAAAATCATTAACCTACTCTATTTTGCAAAATGTTTCTGGAAGAGACTTTTTTCCTCCACATAAAGGAAACCTGTTTGGGCCTCCAAAGAACAAGCTCTTTCAAAACATCATTTAGCTAACATCCATGTTACTGGATTAGCATATATGGACAGAGAAAGCAGGTCTTGGCTGTGATGTTGTATCTTTGCAGTTTACTGGTAAACGTAAAGAGAACATTTTAAGGGAGAAGTTTCAAAATCACCTTGACCAGGCTGAGTCTTAATTAATTCTGCTTGAGGATTCTCTGAATCTTTGGCAGAAACGAAAGCAGAAAAAATATACAGAAAAGTCTTAAAGTACTTCAGTAAGAAACTAAGTTAATAAATGATGCACCTAAAACGGACCCAAACTTCTGACCCACTCTTCTAGAAGGAAGAATATTTCATATTCTTTTTGTTGATAGAAACACAGTGGAGAGGACATACCACATTGCAGTTCCCTCGTGTACACCTGGGACACTAACTGCATTCAGGGGTATTTTGCAACAGACGATAAAGTCTTTCGAAACAGTAGAGCAGAACTTGCTTGCCTAATTTAATAAGACATAGCTGTAGAATTGCCAGTTGTGCTGTATAGTGAGAGCCGTAGAACCCAGGAGATGAAATACTCTCAGACTGTCACTATTTTCAGAATATTTATGCAAAGTTTCATAACTTGAGGTGTCTAATCTTTTCTGTTTCTAAATCCTCTATATGACCTCGATGCTCTAATGCAAAAGCAATTATCACCAGTCTCAGAGAAAGGCAAGAGAGAATAGAAAGCCCATTACAGATCTGTATCCACCTCTCTCAATTTAATGCAACATGAACCAGTATCACTGCTTACCTGAAGAACATAAGGACTTCACTTTTGTTGTTCAAACTTTAAGGGACAGGATATTGTGCAATTTAGCAACTCAAGGCAAATGGATAGACTGGGACTAAATAGAGAGGAGCAGATTCAAAAATTTTTCTTCTAGTGTATAAACCATTCATATTTTGAGGCTTAAAACGACTCCTACGAGCTCTGTCTGTGCTGTTTAAAGATCAGCCTCACCATCTTCTACCTTCAGGCCTAGTCAAGTCAAAGCGTAGAACACATCAAATTGTTTTACTTTTTTAGTAAGATTTTCCATGATAACCCAGCTGTCCAAGCACAGCAGCACATCAGAAAGTTGACAGCCAGCCACTATTGTGAAATCCTCTGTAAAAACTGGCTCTGTAAGCAAGCTGAATAGCAAAACCCTGTACATATAATGGCAATTATCGACTTGGGAATTAGAAATATCTCCTGTGGGGCATATGAATCATTCTATGAAAATAAGCATCCTGGATATCAAGATCTCCATGAGCTCTGTGTTCTTTCCTCCCTTTCTCACCACGATTTTATCTGAAGATATGATTTTACCAGCAAAAAGGGTAGTCAGAGTACTTTTTGCTGAACTCCACTTAGCTGTTTCAGCCTCACACAAGTCGGGATAAGAGAAACATCAAACTGACCTCTCCAATAAAAATAATGTTCTGTGTAAAACGTCTATTTCTGAGTACTTTACAGAGAAGCTTTGCCAACATGTGTGCCCTTTCCCTCACCAGGCAGAATAAGAATCTGTTACGCCCAGTCTTTAAAGATACACAAAAGACAATTCTCCACACCTGAAAAAAATCCTCAGGTTTTGAGATTAAACTCTATTTAGAATATCTTGTGGTTAAATAAAAACAGCTCCTTCAAAAAAGTTCTAAGAAAACTTAACTGCAGCTATATTTTTGTTAGTTACTGTTAAGTAGATAATTAGAAGCTATTACTATTTATATATGAAATAGAGGCCTCACAGTGCATTAGGAGGTTGAAAGTGCAACTTCTCACCTGCCAACTATAGTATGAATTTACAGGCAATATCAAGAAACTTAGGGCAATTTCATGACAACTCTATCTTCCACAGGTTAGGGAGTTATCTGTACACTTCCTTCTACTCTTCTAAGCCACTATTTTTTTTCTTTCTGAACAGTAAGAATTACTGGCAGGGCTGTACTACAATCCAGACCCTGAACTGCAAAAAGGAGTTATTTTTTTAACCAAGAAAATTCCCTAATATAGCTCATTCCACAGACCCACAAACAGCTGTGCTGCCACAGCTGAAGGGACACTGCACCGCTCAGCACAGAATGAAGCTGCTAGAGTTGAGGGCCAACAGTTCACAGTTTCTTGTGTGAAGGCATGTCTGGCCTCTCACTGAGCACTGTCTTCAGGGTAAACCCATACCCTTCCCATAAGGAAGGGACACCACAACTTGCTAGCGTGGAAGAATTTGAACATAGGCTAACTTACTCTACTTGCCAAAAGGATACACTAGCCTGCTGTGATGGGCTTCACTGCTACAACTAGGATGCTTCCACTGACTGAACTAGTGAGGTACTCCCGGTCCAGTCTGGGACCTGATCCAACTTCATCTGCAGCTCCAGAGTCACTAGATTTGATGCAGCTGAAGGGGTAGGAACGAGCACAGGCCTACACAAGACTGCATACTAAACAGAAGGCATGATGCTTCGCTTTTAAACCAAAGTGAACTACTTAACACAAACACCAGCCAGGAGCGCAGTTCAAAAACAGCTCAATCTAATCTGAGCCGATGCTGTGGCAATCTTGCCTCTTGCTCTCTGTCCTCCTCCCCCACTGATACTGGCACTGACATTTTTCTAACTCTTGGTGAGCTGATGCAGGGTACTACCTTAGAAGTATATATATTTTTTGCTAGATTAGTTTTCTGCCCTGCTTAGTGTCCTGAACTGGCTTTTTACTGGGTCAAATTAAAGACAGTGGTGGCAAAAGGGACGATGGCAGGTGGGACCATACCTGTGCTAGCTTACAATGGCTTATATGATCATGAAACTGCAGTCTTAATTGTGCATGTAGAAGTGTACCACATAACGTATGTGAATAACTAACCAAAATCTGGGACTGGACTTATCCCTTATGAGACTAATTAGTTTTCAAACTAGCAGCGTAAGAAAATAGTTACACGATGCAAAATATAGATGAGAAAGTTTTCTAAAGCGTTGCTGAAAGCAGTATCACAGCATGGTTTTCCCAAAGAACTGCAATATTAAATACCATTCACTACAAATTTTTTTTGAATCTTATCTCAGAGGCTGTTATTGAAATTTCCCTTTCATCTAGAAATTTATTATATAAAGCCTTTCTACAGCTATACGTTTCACTGATGTTTTCATTCTTCATTTTTTCCACCCACAGAAATAACTTTAAGGAGTGACTTCTCTTGAGCTCTATATTGCAGACACAGTCTCACAGAGTTGTGTCTCGTAAACGCACAAGTCAAGACTTATGGGAAAAAAAGCCTTACCCCTCTAGATTTCTAAAAATTCAATTGAGAATTTAGGAGTCTAAATTTATTCTTTTTAAATATATTATGTTTACAGACACAAACAAGAAGTCTTTCTCACCAAGAAATTAGTAATATACTCAGCTATGACTCAAAGCTTATTCCTACTGAGAGGTGAGAAATAGATATCCTCTCAAATAGATAAGGTTATATAAGTGAGAAAACATCTTTCCTAAGAATGCCTAAAAAGAGAGAAAACACTTTTAATATGGCCATGTTCTACTAGATCATTCCAGGATAGCATTGGTAGGGCAGATGAGACAGAACTAGTATAATTTAATCAATAACTTTCAACTAAATATAGTAGTTAGCTAAGATTTTTTTTGCCAAATTTGCTTCCCTGGATTGCAAGAAAACTGCAATAGAAAAAAGTTGCTATCAGACTTAAATATTTTCCTTTATATTTTTTCTAAAGAGAATGGCAGTTAAGATACGACTCAGTCATTAAAAACTTATTAGGAAAACAAAGAAGCCATAGCTATTTTGATACATCTCTACAAAACTGTCAATTATTAAGATATGCAGGATTCATTTTAACACACGCTCCACAAAGTTATTTAAGAATTTATTCTATAAACTGCAACCATTAGCATTTTCCCTCCCCAACCTCACATTCAATAACATTGTAAAATATGTTTTTTTCCTTTATGATCCAATGACTCAAAACCATCACTCTGATATCAAATAAGATACATATCCCCCAGCTCCATATTATAATGTTTCAATGTCTCTACCTCAGAATCTTTGAGTCTCACGTAATTAGATGGGAAAACTCCTGATTTATCACCCAGTGTTCCTGTCCACCAGTCGCCGTCTTTCTTTGTCACAAGAATCATATCACCTTGCTGAAAGGTCAGGTCTCCTTGTTCAGAGCTCTCGTAAGTGTACATAGCAACATACTCTGGAAGAGCAAAATAAATACAGAACAGAGGAAAACACTTGATAAACTTTATCATTTGCAAAACGTACCTAATATAATGTAGTAGTCTATCCACAGGCTAGAGAGAAGACAAATTTATTAATTACTTTATTAATAGAAAGCTCAATATTTAATGCATAAAATGAAATATATCTTCTTCAGGACTAAATACAATCTATCAAAAGGCTGCTTCTGGGGGAATCTTTTTTGGTGCAATAGTTTGCTAGTATAATTAAAATGTACATAAATTTATACCACTTCATACCACTTTATATCACTATTTAAAGAACATATTTCCCAACGGCTTCTGTTGCCGTTCTGTGCCGATCACCAGCATTTTCAGTTTTGGGGACAGAAAAGCTCAGTATCTGAACATCTGTAGATATAGTCTTCATCTCACATAGCTGTTTGCCTCTCATGTACAATGAACACTTTCATTACTTGAAGCTTTGCATCAAGGGTGCACATCTCATTGTATTTTATACAACAGATGGCTGGGAAATGTTAAGACAAAGCTAGAATGTGTTCTGTTCTGTTAAAACATGGTCAACTACTTAGTATTCAAGTGCAGAAAGCACAAAAGTAGACTGATGTTGAGAAATGCAATGCATAATTTAATTACAGAACTACAAGAAAAATTTTTATTTCAAGGATTAGAAATAAGAATTTCAGATGACTCTGTTTGATATGTCTGATATGTTCTTATTTAACTGAGCATTATCACACATGCTTATGGGCATAAAACAGATTTCTGAAGAT